AGAGCAATAAGACAATAGAAAGACATCCAAGGAATCCAAATAGGAAAAGAAGAAGTCAAACTATCACTCTTTGCAGATGATATGATAATATACATAGAGAACCCCAAAAACTCCACAGAAAAAACTAATTCAACTCATCAATCAGTTCAGTAAAGTGGCAGGATACAAAATCAACACGCAAAAGTCAGTAGCCTTCCTATTTACAAACAATAAATCTGAAGAAGAAGAAATCAAAAAAACCATCCCTTTTATTATTGAAACAAAAAAAATCAAATATTTGGGAATAAATCTAACAAAAGAGGTAAAGGACCTATACAAAGAAAACTATAAAACACTGTTAAAAGAAATAGAAGAAGACACAAAGAAATGGAAAGACATCCCCTGCTCATGGATTGGGAGAATAAACATTATTAAAATGGCCATCCTACCAAAAGCAATATACAGATTCAATGCTATTCCAATCAAAATTTCAATGTCATTCTTCAAAGAAATAGAACAATTATTGATGAAATTCATATGGAATCACAAAAAACCCCGAATAGCCAAAGCTCTCCTGAAAAAAAAAAGAAGGGAATGGAGGCATCACACTCCCAGACTTCAAACTCTACTACAAAGCCATAATCATCAAAACTGCATGGTATTGGAACAAGAACAGACATACAGACCAATGGAATCGAATAGAAAATCCAGAAATAAACCCACAGATTTATGGTCAACTAATCTTTGACAAAGGAGCAAAGACTATGCATTGGAGCAAAGAAAGTTTGTTCAATAAATGGTGCTGGGAAAACTGGGTCGCTACATGCAAAAGAATGAAGCTTGACCACTACCTCACACCATATACAAAAATCAACTCAAAATGGATTAAAGAACTAGACATAAGACCTGAAACCATAAAATACATAGAAGGAAATATAGGCGAAACACTACGTGATTTGCATATCAAAGACATCTTTACAGACACATCACCCAAAGCAGTGATAGTGAAGGCAAAGATCAACAGCTGGGACTACATCAAATTAAAGAACTTCTGCACAGCAAAAGAGACAATAACAAAAACAAAGAGAAACCCCACCAACTGGGAGAAAATTTTTGCACCCAACACTAATGATAAAGGACTGATCACAAAAATCTGCAAAGAGCTGATGAGACTCAACACAAAGAAAATAATTCAGTCACAAAATGGGCAGAAGAGCTAAAAAGAAACTTCTCTGAAGAGGAAATGCAAATGGCCAACAGGCATATGAGAAAATGTTCAACATCACTTGTAATCAGGGAAATGCAAATCGAAACTACCATGAGATACCATCTTACACCAGTGAGAATGGCACATATTAGAAAAACTAGCAACAACAAATGTTGGCGAGGATGTGGAGAAAAAGGAACTCTTCTGCACTGTTGGTGGGAGTGCAAACTGGTCCAACCACTATGGAGAGCTGTGTGGAGATTTCTGGACCTACTAAACATAGAGCTTCCATATGATCCAGCCATTCCACTCCTAGGTATTTACCCAAAGGACACAGAAACATCAATTCCAAAGAGCACCTGCACCCCTATGTTTATAGCAGCACTATTTACAATAGCTAAGCTATGGAAACAACCCAAATGCCCAAAAATAGATGACTGGATCAAGAAGATGTGGTCCATATATACCATGGAATATTACTCAGCATTCAAAAAAGATAAACACATGCAATTTGCAGCAACATGGATGACGCTGGAAGGGATCATGCTCAGTGAAATAAGCCAAAAAGAAAAAGAAAAATACCGGATGGTCTCACTCATAGCAGGGATCTAGAAAACTTAAATAAGGGACCAGGAAAATGAATAACTATAAGAAAGTGAAAATCAAAATCAACAAAAACTATGAACCAGAGACACTTTTTGGGGGGTGGGGGGCGGGAGGGGAGGGATTGGGGTCAGAATGGGGGGATTGCAATTGTATGGGGAATATAAAAATAAAATTTATTAATTAAAAAAAAACTGCACAGCAATTTACAATATTTTATGATTTTTATATTTCAGTTACACTCTTAAACAGTAAAAATTTAAGCAAATGAAACAAACCTGTTTTCCTTTGTTAAAAATTGTCCTCACTCACCACTTTTATTTTTCATACAAATGTTACCTTTGCAATGAGATTTACCTTTTTTTATTACAGCACTTACCATCTTACAAACTAGAGAACATACTTACATTTCATATTTATTATATATCTCTCCTGTCACTAGAATGTGAGCCCTATGAAGCAATGGTCTTCTTGTCTGTTTTGCTCACAGAATTAGTCCATATTCCCAGAACAGTGTTAGGCAAGAACTAGGTTCCCGATAAATACTGAATGAATGAGTGAATGAATGATTCTCTGAAGAGGAAGAGGAAGAGGAAGGCACATTCTACTATATTTACCTAACCTGTAAGAAAATTTTAGCTTCATTTTTGAAATGCCATAACTTTTTCTAAAGTTTTATGGTTTAATTTTCACACATAAAAGGCCATGTTCATTGAACTCATTTAAAACTGAATTTGAAATTACTATTCTTTCCAGTAATAAACTCACCTATCTACTTAGTTTATTCATGTTCTGGGTGCTATATCAAGAAAATCAAAATCAAAATAATTTTTTATATCACTATTTCTGGTCACTGATTTAAATACCATCACTGTGATATTTAAGTACATTTTATTTATGTGATCAATGTCTTATAATAATTCATTTTGGCAGCACATACTTCTGAGTATCAATAATATGAGGTAAATTTTATAGTATTCCACCTGGAGATACAGAAGTGGATGTGTTTCTTAAGGGAAATATAAAACTAGAGAAGAGGATTGAATTGGACAATACAAGCCAGTGAACAATTGCATCAGAGAAATGGGAGTATTATAACAGGGGTGTTTAGGGCACTGAGAGGTAGGAAAAAGATTTGCACTAACTGCTGGAGGGAATCTGAAGGCAAATTTTAAAAACATATATATAAAAAAATTGATACTGACTACTACCCAAGGCCCAACTTACATTAAACACTGTGAATCAAGAGTAAACCCAATTGGCAGAGTTACTTGGATTTCTCCAATAATATCCAACATCCCAGAAGTATAGAAAATGAAAGGTTAGACTGTAGTAGTTCTAAGGAGTACAGCACAGAGAGATATGAATATGATATATTCTCCACCCCAACCAAATGCCATGCCAAAATTTTAAATTCAAGGTTTGTCTGACTCATGACTGTCCAAAGTATATCTTAATGCTGATTTTAAGGTCATCCTGTAACTAAAATTGGTTTAAAATTATTTTCTGGCTGAATAAATATCTGAATCAAGTTAATGGTAGAATTGAGACAGCATCTGCAATTTTCTACTAGTGAAACCTACATGTGGAATTTTACATTTTTAACAAAATCATTTGGGAGCTAACAATCTACACAGCTGCAAAGTTTCTGGGCCATTCCAGCCATAATGGAAGGGGTAGTCCTTTGACAACAGCTTTTGATAACACATTAGAACTTTTATCCCCTTTTCACAATCTGGGGAAAAAAAATCACAACTCAAATACCTTGGGGAACTGATGTTTTAGGATAGGGTCGGGCATGACAAGATAAATGGAGTCAAACAGATTTCCTCTTTTGAAAATCTGAGTCAACAGATTATGAAGCTTGTGAAATATTTCATGGAGAAGTCAGAACTTAAAAGGACTATCACGTGGAATGAGACACACTGTCAAGATGGAACATTCTAGACAGAAGTTCAGAGGTGGGAGAAAGAAGGAGTAGGCCTTGGGAAGAGAAAGAATGAAGAGAAATATAGATGCCTTTGAGGGAGAAATCACATGACCCATAAAAGAGAGATGGAGTTCTTTCCCCAGAACTGCCCCACTGGCTCTTAAAGTTCCAGTTTTCATTCATGTATAGAATACAATAGCCTTCTGGGCCTCCCCTGGTGGTGCAGCGGTTGAGCGCTGGGCTGCGAGGCTGCCCGCAGCCTCTGCAGCGCCAGTTCATTCCCCGGCTGCAGGCAAGGGTCCCACATGGCGCGCAGACCTCTCCTGCCATGCCTGCTGCTCCCCTCAGCAGTGTACTTCGTCAGTCTGCTCTTCTGCTCCCCGCTCTGGCTCTGGTGAATCCTCTCATCCTCCCACGCTTCTGAGTGTACCCAGTGCTTGTATAAATAAATAATAAATACTTAAAAAATTAGGAAATTTTAACATAAGGGTGCTATTAAGAGTAAAATGCACTCCATATAAAAGCATGCCAGTATGAAGACAACAGAATTTTCCTCCACTTTGTACTAAAGGAGCTGAAGAGCCAATTAATTTTTATACTTTTGAAAGCCATGAATCTATTAAGAGCCAGGAAATTTGGCAACCAGGAAATTCAGAGTCAAGTTTGATCATCATTCCAGTACTTTTTGACCTTGGGTATTGACCTTTGATTTCATCTTATTTTTTCAATTAATATTTTACTTTTACCCAGATTTCCTCAAATATTTGGCTTTTATCCAGAATTTCACTGTTCATTTTATCACTTTATCTCATTTTTTTAAAAAAAGATTTACTTATTTATGCATAGAAGAACTGGGGTATAGGCCAGAGGTGGGGTGAGAGGATTCACCAGAGACAGAGTGGGTAGCAGAATAGGCAGATTTACTGAAATACACAGCTAATATGTGGGTTAGCTCCCTAACCAGGGATCAAACTCAGGTCACAGCAGTGATAGCATTACAGCACTGAGACTTAACCCCTACACCAGGGATGCCCTGATATCAATTATTTTTGAACCAGATAGGTGAGGGACTGCATTAAGATAGATGGTTTATAAGCCATCTACATAGAACAGGAAATGAACCTCAGATTTGAGCTTTACTCAAAATAGGACGTTAATGAGAGCTGCCATTTTGATTCCATATCGACTCTTTCTCAAGAACTTTATAAGAATATATTTATTGTTACATTACACACTATATTTGTTAGAACTTTTGAAGAGAAAGACAAATGCAAGTACTACCTGGAGGACCGAAGCACCGCTGTGGAGAAACTGAAGTCCACTTTCAGCTGAGTCAATTCCACCGGTGGCCAAAATAGGAAATCCAGGCAAAGCACGAGCAATAGCAGTCACTGCTCTCAAAGCAAGAGGTCTGATGGCTATGCCTACAGAAAATGAGAATGATCATTGGTTAGCATACTGACCACTTGAGCATATTGCTTTACAATCACTACTATGTAATAGCTGTGTTACACTAGACAGAATTCATGGTTTTGTATCTTTAAGATGTATACATACATAATATATAAATTTTGTTATGTTTTAAAGTAATGAATGTGTATTTATTTTAAGTTCTTTGGTGTTATTATAGCATGCAGGCTTGGTTAAATAAGTGGGCAGAGCAAACCCGGAACTCTTGCATAAAACCTTATACTACAATTTGATACACAGTAATACTGTACAAGATTGTATGGAACACTGAAGCATCTGTTTTAAAAAGAACAAGGAACAGCAGATTTTTTGAAAAAGAAAAACAATCACATATATTACATAAATAGACATACAGCTCTGTTATGTTTCTGTTAAGTACAAAGCAGCTGGTGTGAATCGAGATACTATAAAAACAAGCAAGGTGCTGATGAACTTACAGATTCCATATTGCTTTTTACATGTGTTTCCCATAATTTGGTGAAACATAGTAAGCCAAGCTAATTTTTCATACATTAAAAAAGTTTTAATCAAGTTAAAGAGTATTTACCAGAAACTAGTAACTAGAGAGGATGTGTTAAATTGTTTATATTTTATTCGGCCAGTATATTATTGACAATATATTATTCCCTAATCATAATGAAAAACCATGTATGCCCAGACATTGAGGTCATTTTAAAATGACTCTACTGTATTAATGCTGCACTCAACTCTCAAGAGTTAACACCTCCTGGAGTAAATTAATGCCTTCGTAAAAGCAATATAGTTTGATATTTCTGGTGTACATTCATAAATCATTGGTCTTTAATAGCACTTTCTGAGCTAAAAATAGTTTTAGTTGTGCAAAAATTTGACATTGTTTCAATCCAAGACTCCACAAACAAGCAATGGGCAAAATCAACCTCATGTGGTGAGTACTTTATCAACCCCACCACCACCACCGATGTCCTCATCAGTATTATCAATATGTATTTATTGCACTACTTACAAGCAAGAGGTCTCCTAAAATGAGTGGCTTTCTTTTTATCTTGTTCATATTCATTTCAGATGGAATCAAACTTACTGTATAACTAGTGCTTTTGCACTCAATACCAAAATGTTTCTGGAAATGTCTAATTGTTGCTCCCACATTTAAAAAATAAAGCTTCCCCTAGATATTAGTTTTTCTTACTCAAGAATGTTGGATGCTTACAGCAGATTTCCATAACTGACATTTAGAATACAAGGCATTGAGCTAGGGCAAACTGGAAACTGAATGACAAGATTATATTTCTATTTCAAAATACTTGTGACTTATTAGTCTCTATGTTACAACCATAAAGAAGACTAACGCAGTGCACAGGAGAATGCATAGCAAGAACACACACACACACACACACACACACACACTTATATACACATCTTTAGTGATCCTAAAAAGAAATTTAAGTAAAAAAAAAAGTTAATGGAAAGCATATTAAAGGAAATTTGTAACTTAAATAAACTTTTCAGATAGACTTATCACTATCTCTGCATGATAAAGTGGACAGGTTCAATGCGTACTATACTAGTAATTTCTATATGTACATATTAGTTTGAAGTAGTAAAGAAATATTGAGATTCTTTTTTTTTCTTATTTAGTTGACCCTAGAGAGTAAAGGAAATGTGAGCTAAGCAGATAAATAATTTATTTCTAACTGCACTGTTAGAAGACTATCATTAACACTAAGGGGTAAAATTTCAAAGTGGTACATAGGGATTTGCCCACATATTCCAATTGATATTAATGGACATCAAATGGCAAAATCCCAGAACACAGCTTTGAAAATCTAACCAGTTACATTTAAAGGGCAACATTACTGCACAGGTGTTAAAAAACATCAGCAAATCCTCAGTGGCATTTGAAGATGTTCAATTAGGTCAATAAGACATTTTCTATTTCATGTTTTTTTCCCTTTTTTAAAGTGTCCCTAATCTACCTAATGAACATGAAAATCTTTCAATGTAATAAAGGCACCTTTTTAAAAATTAAGAGTATTTATACTTTCTGAGGAAATGTGACCCAAACATGAAGAAACAGATCCTTCTGCTGCTGGGTGGTAGTAAATCCAGTTTTTTATTTCCAGATAAATTTCATTTGATTTTCTTATAACTCAAGTGATGTAATATGAAATATAATCTACCTTTCTTCAGCATTTTTATGGGAAATAGGCCTTAAAAAAGAACTTTATCCACTATGAAAAATTTCTAGAAGGAAAGTAAAAGTGACTAAAAGGATCTTTCCAAATTGTTAAATAAACATTGCTTTTTAGCCTTAAAATGACAAAGATGAAAAAATATAGGTTTGAGACAAAAATAAAATGTTTGGTGTAAAGAAAATACATATAATAATTCCATATACGGACTCCCTGGTGGCGCAGTAGTTGAGCGCTGGGCTGCGAAGCTGCCTGCAGCCTTTGCAGCACTGGTTCAATCCCCAGCCTCTGGTGAGGGTCCCACATGGTGCACAGACCTCTCCTGCCCACCCACTGCTCCGTTCAGCAGTGTACTTCGTCAGTCTACCTGTTCTGCTTCCCACTCTGGCTCTGGTGAATTCTCTCACCCTCCTGCGCTTCTGGCTATACCCAGTGCTTGTATAAATAAATAAATCTTTAAAAAAAAATTCCATATAGAACTGTACATGCAGCTACTAAAAATGCATACAAAATTTCTAGAATCACAGTTGTGGAGATAAAATTTTAAAAAATGTTGTCACTGTGACAATAATCATTTTAGATTTAAGGACTACAGAGGAAGTAGCCAGTTCGAGAGGCTCAAGGAATGTGAATGTAAACTCCACCATTAGGGAAAACAAGCAGGCTTAAATCAAGAAAATGAAATCCTGTAAGACTAAATGAACTAATAGGCAGCATTCAACCTAAATAAGCCCTCATCTAAACAGAAGTGAACCTAAGGGATATTGAGTTATACCGAGTCATTCTGTTTCAACTGGAATGCACCAATGAAAATCAAGCCATCCTGATTTCCAAATTTTGGAACAAGCTGCATCTTTGAATGAACAAAAACAAACTGTGCCTTTGAGTTCCAACATTGCTGGCAGGAGTTCCAAATTGTAGTAAAGTGGCCAGCGAGAGGAAAAGCTGTAACTTCTGATATGTAATCGATCCCATCCTAGCATATAGTTTTAAAATGCAACTGTAGAATCTAATTGCTAAAAGGCGTTTGGAGAGCTATTTAAATGACACAAAATTCCTCCCTCTCTGTTGCCCTCACTCTTGAACTCACAATCCTAAAATCCCCATTATGTATAATCTAGTTACTGATTCAAGCTTTCCAACTTTAGAGAGCTCATTGCTCCTTGGACTTATAGGAATTCTTAATAATTTAGGAATCTTCTTATGAATGAAATGTTCATTCTTAATATTTATCCTCACTGATCTGCTACCTTCTAGGGAGACACTGAAAAAATCTAATTCTTCTTTCACAAATACAGCAATTGAAGACAACTCTAAAATATATCCAAGGTCTTCTCTCAGTTTAACATCCACAGGACCTTTAATCCACTGTAGTTCATGTGGTGTGCACTGAATTCTCTTCACCTTGCTGGCTTCATAAGGAATATCACAGCCCAGTTTTCTCAAACTTAAAAATGTATCACAATCGCCTGGAAGGCTTTGAAAACAGATTGAAGCATTCTGTTCCCTGAGTTTACAATTTAGTAAGCCCTAGATGGGTCCAAGAATTTGTATTTTTAATAAATCCCCAGGTGATTGATCCTCAACACCCAAACACAGTAGTATCACCTCACTCCTCTGATTTGAACTCTGTAAGTACAGTGTTCAAAATGGCATGTGATCCCTTAGTAGCTATTTCAAGATACTGCTTTTCAAAGGTTGTCAACAAAGCCCCCTAAATCCTGAAAAATAGCTTTTGTTAATGATTCAGGTTTTCTTCATATTTTACTTATACAATCACATTTCTGGATCCAGCTGGAAAACTTTCCTTTGTCTCTAATAAAGTAAATTTTGCTTGCTAAGTGCCTATTAATGCATCCACTGATATGATAAAGATGATGTGATACTACTATGTGATGGGATACTATTCAGTTATAAAGAAAAGATGAAATCTTGCCATTTGCAAGGTGTGTATTGACTTTGAGAGGAATATGTTAAGTGAAATAAGTCAGAACGAGAAAGACAAATACTGTATGATTTCACTCATAATTGGAATATTAAAAAAGACAGCAAATAAATAAATAACACAAAACACCAAAACTCACTTAGATTCTGTCACTAGAATGTTGTTACCTGGGAGGGTAGGAGGAATCGGTAGACAGGATTGCCTGGATGGTGGTGGTTGGAAACTACCAAACTCTTGGAAGGGGGTCAGGTGTTCCATGAGGAACATTCATTTAAAAACCATACATTTTATAAGTACTATTAATATGAATTATAGTATCAATTTGAGGATAAGCTAGTTACAATGTTAGAGAAACAAGAGAGCCAAATCCTACCTCCACTAGTCACGAACTCTGAGCAAATTGCTTAATCTTACTGCACCTATTATGAAAATTATTATAACTCCATACAGTTGTTTTGAGAATTAAATGCTTTACTGTATAAAGGGCTAGCACTTAATAAAAATCACACAGGTGTTTCCTATTATAATCTGTACTACTTACAAGGACAATTGGTTTTGAGGGAGCACTTATTTAGTTTGACAGTGCTATGTCTTTGCTGTATGTTTAGTGATGCAAGAAAATCTAATTTTCAAATTGGAGAAAGAATGATACCTATATGGTGATAGAAGTTTCTATCCTCTAATACGTCTCCCCTTCTTTTTCTCCTTTTCTAAGAGCTCTCACTTAGCAGTGTCATGATGTTGGTAAGATTAACCAGCTCTGAAGACAAAAATCTCAAGTCAGGCATCAATATATTTAAGATATTTTTTTGAGAACTAAAAGATGCATGCACAAAAC